CCCTAGCTGCACTTGCGCCCTGCGCTTTAGACCATGCAGTTGGATCATTAAAATAGGGCCCCAAGTGATTTCATTATGTTAACCTTAATCACATGGTTAACATTGAAGTTTTGATGATGTTGTTGACCCCCACCACGCCAGATCTCACGTCTCGACAATGGCCTGCGAATGACGGGTGAAGTCATTACGACTCAAGGAAATAGGAAGTCAGGTTGAGAGTGTGTTCCCTTTCAGAATAACCTTGGCATCACACTGAGGCTTGGAGTGTGGCTGATTGCTTGCGGAAAACACTCATCAGTTGGAAGAGTGACCTTGGTGTGGCATAATGACACTTTGTTAAGAGGCAGGTGGTGCGAAGAGGACTCGCAGCAGACAGCTGCTCGCTCGGCTCCCACCGAGACGTTCTTCAGATTATCACTGGAAACTTGTCTCGCGCGCATCGCTCACGCCGAACGCGAGAAGGCATTTAAGTTTCACGTGGACAAGGCTACAGCCGTTTCCAATAATGCAGTTGCTGTAAAGTGTTCATTTACAGTGATGAATGTCTCAGGTCAACAGAGTCTTTCTGATTACCTTTAATGGAGTTCTCAGATTCGCACATCCTGTCTCAAAGTGCAGAATTCATCGGGGTTAATCATGCGCGCAGCTCACCTGCCAAAGATCACAGTAACGAGTTTGATTTTCCATTAGTCGAGAGCACTTTAGCCTTCTCCTCATGCGCACCTGATTTGATTCAGCCTTGCAATTAATTCACTTGAGACGGACATGTCTCCTCAGCAGAAAACATTTAGTTCTTCCGAAGATGATGTCCTTTTGTTATGTACAGTGTGTGCTGTAAATAAATGCAGTTCGTTGAAATATTGGGTCAAGAAGGTGAATTTGAACTTTGATTTTTTTTGAAAATGTAATTGCAGGAAATTACACTTGCAATCATGCTTTTAGTGGATCGGGAGTTTCATTGTTGCTCCATCCACTAATAAATTAGTTTATTGAATCACTCAGTGTATTCTTTGTTTTGTTCTTTTTATTTCATTTTAATTAATTTAATCATTGTTCATTCTATTTTTTAAAAATAGTTCAATAAGTAATTAATAATAGACTTGGGATGAATCTCCGGTGTGTAAAACATGAATTACTGTCCAAATTTCTCAAGGGCTCAAAGAGCCTCCACTCCTTTTTCAAGCTTCTGTTCTGAATGCTCCTTGAATAATGATGTAGCATTTTGAGTCTGATCAAGCAATATCAGAAACACAAAATGCTGTTCCTCTTGAGCTTTCAGAGACTTTTCTCTTAAATCTATGACATGTAAAAAACGAAGAAGACACCTGCCGCAATTCTAATAATCGTAACTATATCGTCTGGTGTCTTTTAAAGCCCACTTGAAGCTGCACTGAAACTCTCATTTGGACCTTAAACCGTTTGGTTCCCATTGAAGTCAAGTATATGGAGAAAATCCTGGAATGTTTTCATCAAAAACCTTAATTTCTTTTCGACTGAAGAAAGAAAGACATGGACATCTTGGATGACATGGGGGTGAGTAAATTATCAGCAACATTTTTTTTTTTTAAAGTGAACTACTCCTTTAAGAGAAAACTTTGTCCTAGACGGGAACAATGGAGGAAGTGAACGAACGTCGCCACTGATTACATACTCAAGGGATTTTCTTCTTGCCCTACGGAATAAAGCTGTGTCTGTGGACTTAAATCATGCATCATCAACCCCTCATGGAAAAGACCAAGGTAGGAAAAGGAAAAAAAAGAGGTGTTCATAACAGGTTGAGAAGGCGAGAAAACAGACACCCGCTTCCCATCAAAACTGTCAAACGTCAGATCATTAAATAATAAACTAACACGCCTCTGGTTTGATAGTAATTTGCTCTGCTTCGCAGAGACATGGATTCATGAGGACAGCACATTCACGGATATGGAGGTATTTACAGTTATAAGAGCAGATCGTGATAAGGTGTCATCTCAAAAATCCATCAGGGGAGGACTCTGCATGTTTATTGACAGCACTTGGGCCTCACAATTCAAAGTCCTCAAGAGACTGTGCACCAGAGACTATGAGATGCAGTCTGTTTTACCTTCCGCGGGAGTTTGGGCAAATCACCATTATTCTTGTCTATGTCCAAGGGCCTAACGATAAAGAAGCTGTGGAAATAATAACCGACAGCTTCAATGCTGCACTCTCCCGATCGGCAGATCAGTCGGTTTTTATTTTGGGGGATTTCAACACATGTCAGCTGTCACCTCATCTATCCACTCTGCAGCAGTGTGTCACCACGCCCACACGCTCCACTCGCATACTGGACCAATGCTTCGGTAACATCCCAGGCGCAGGGGGTCGTCTTCCTCTTGGAAAGTCTGATCAAAATGTCATTCATCTGCTTCCAACATACAGACAGAAAATCAGGCATGAATTCCACACCTGAAAACTGTTCATCAATGGACTGAGGATGGGGAGGAGGAGCTCAGAGATTGTTTTGACTCTACGGATTGTTTTTTGACGCATGTTCTGATCATCACGAATTGACAGACACGATCACATGCTATATCAAGTTCTGTGAAGAAACTTATCACTTCTAAGAAAGTGTTTAGTAATAACAAGCCATGGCTCTCAAAGAATCTTGAAATGTGTCTGAATGAGAAAAGGGCTGTGTTTTTGAGAAAAACAGTGTAAATGTGGCAGATTGTGGCAAATTTGTTAATGATTTAAACATTTTTCTGTGGAATATATACGATGACAGACCCAAAAATAGGCTGCAATATTACCTATGATCAGATTGGCAGCTATGAACATGCATAGTAGCCATGTGTCTCTCTAAAATCAGACTAAACAAAGCCCCGGGGCCTGATGGCTTCCAATGAAGGGTGCTAAATGTATGCTCTCAACAACTTAAAGTGGTTCTTACTCAGCTGTGTTTCACATTTTGCTTAATTGTGGTGTTTTCCCAAATTTATGGAAGAAATCTACAATAATGCCTGTGCCTAAAGTCTCTAGGGCTACAGACCTTGGAGACTTTAGACCAGTGGCACTCACTCCACTCTTAGCGAAGTGTATGGAGAGAGTGGTCTTCTGTTGGGAATCAACTTGAACCCCTTCAATTTTTCTATAGGTCACTCAGAGCAGCCCATTCTCACTCCCAAGGCGTCACCTAACTGACGCCTTGGGAAGCATTTGACCATGCTTCAATATCTGACGCTTTAGGCGCCCTTTAGCGTCAGTTAGATGACGCCCTAGGATCGCGTGTACCCTACCCCCACCCCATACCTAAACCTAACCGCGTCCTCTAACTGACGCTTTTCTTTAGCGTCAGTTAGATGACGCCGTAGGATCGCGTCATGTAAGTGACGCTAAAGGGCGCCTAAAACGTCAAATATTGAAGCATGGTCAAAGGTGACGCCTTGGGGTGAGAACGTGTTGCTCAGAGGCACAGAGGACGCAACTCTTACTCTTGTAAATCAAATAGCTAAGCATCTGCAACAACCAAAATCACTTGCTCGGGTACTATTTATTGATTTTACGTCTGCTTTTAATACTATGCAAATTTACAATCCTAACTTCATAGGATGAATGTGAATGGTGGACTCATTCACTGGATTAGAAGTTTCTTAACTGACCGCCCTCAGAGAGTCTTAATAAATGGGGTCAACTCGGATGGGCTTGTCATAAATACTGGAGGATCACAAGGCTGTGTGTTGTCATCTATGTTGATTTCAATTTTTATAAATGACAGGACTGTGCACAGCACCAATGTTAGTTTACTTAAATATGCTGATGACATGGCCTTGGTAGGACCTCTCAGAAAATAATGCAGCACATGAGGAAGCTTACTTTAGCCCAGTCACTTTACTGCAGGACTGGTGTCAGGCTGTTAAACTGGAAATGAGCGTGACTAAAAAAAAACAAAACTTAAAATACAAACAAAACCAAGAGGGGCCAGTAACATCACCCTTGTTGTACTTAACAGCCAGCTTGTGGAAGTAGTGGAACATTTTAAGTACTTGGGTACAATCACTGATCGCACTTTAAGTTTTAATGTTAACTCAGAGTATTTTTAAGATTGCTAACCGGCGAGTGTTTTTAATTAGAAAGCTGAGGAGCTTCAGAGTCAGTCAACACATTCTTGAGATGGCATATAGGGGTCTGGTAGAAAGCATTTTACAGTTTAATATAACAGCTTGGAATGGCAACCTGAATGTGAAAGACAAAAACAAGCTTTCCATAATTGTTAATATTGCAGGGAAGGTGATTGGCAAGTCACAAAGGCAGCTTGGGGATGTATTTGATAGGGCGGTACTCAGGAAGGCCAGACAGATATCAGCAGACACCCTACACCCACTCAACTCAGAGTTTGAGTCGCTCCCATCAGGCCGTAGATTCAGGGTCTCAAGGGCGAGCCGGAACATCTATAAGAGATCTTTTATTCCCCATGCTATATAGGAATTTAATTTATGTGTTTAAGTACCTTATTTCAATTTTCTGTTGTATGTGGATGGTGATAGTGTCATACTTTTGTCATTTTAACGGTGGTGTCACTGATGCATATCTGTTCGGAGAAGTCGAAGACAAATTTCCACTAATGTGTTTTTTCCACTAAAAAAATGCATCTTAATACCAGGTGTGGAGAAAATATATTAAAAAAAAATCTGAAAATATGATTAAATTGTCTGTATTTTTGATAAATATTCATTTATGATAAATGAAAAATACATGTAAAATGCTATGAAATTAGTCAAAGTCATTTCCATAACCGTCATTTTTTGACCGCAGGATGAATGGAAATGAAGGAGAGCTTATTTTCTAAAATTCCACATGGCCAGAAGGGCCTATAGTTTTAGAAGAAGAAAAAAAAGAACAAATAAGGATCTGAACTCTGCACTGATGATTGCAAGATGATATTGACAGACACAGGTTTAATTGGTAAGCGTCAGTATGCTCTTATCAGGATGCTGCACTTTTCTTTGAAGCTCACTTCCATCTTCTCCTTCTCCCCACAGGCATTACCATAGCCAGTGCTCTTATTGATACGTCTCAGCAGAGACCCGGTGACTTCAAAGACAAGGGCTTGAGTCTAAAGAGCCGCAAACAGCAGCACACGGTGCACCAGGGAACCTGCGTTTGAACCAGCCGACTGACCTCACAGGAACCTCCGGGACGCAGGGATTCTGATCTCTTTTCTCCCCTCTCTCTCTCTCTCTCTCTCTCTCTCTCTCTCTCTAGAAGGTATTGATGAGAGGGGAGCTCTTGAAGTGTAAATGACAAAGGAGGGTTGAGACATTAGTAGTCCGTGTGTGGCTCCTCCTAAATTCCACGCTCCATAGTGGAGCTCGTATTCCCTCAGTATTGATTGAACCTCTGTAGAGGACATCTGCATTTTGATTGTGCCCACTGGGTTTCTGTTTTTCAACAGCTGCTTCTCAAAAGGGGAGTGAAACTCACTGTGACCCTTAAAAGGTTACAGGCCAGAATGAGTCACCTGATCACATATGTAGAGGTAACCCTTTCTCTTTTAGGGTTTCATTTTGTCATTTATTGAAATGTGTTTTGATGACTCTTTGATACAGTAATTATCGTTAGCCGAGGACTGTATTCAATACATACATTTAATACATTGTTTTTCGAACAGAAACAAAATATGTTGAAGACGTCTAACTCTGCGAAGTCAGGACGTGCGTGTGGAAAGTTTAATTTTGTCTTGCAGAACTGACATTTGTATCTCCTAGTGGCTATACACTTATATTCAAGAACTGAAAAGACCACATACATATAATTTAGCTTTGAACTTGACTGTATGCTAGTATGCCACAGTATATGAATAGATAGATAAAGATTCACTTTTAGACAACATACATTATTTGGGGTCAGTAAGCTTTGTTTTATGAAATTAATAGCTTAGTTCAGCTAGGATGTATTAAATTATGCAAAAACAAAATGACAGTAAAGACATTTATAATGTTACAAAACATTGCTACTTCAAATAAATGCTGTTCTTTTGAACTTTCTATTCATAAAAGATTCGTCAAACTTCCACTGTAAACACATGAATGATGCAAAAACGAATTCATTGAGTGAAATACCGGAGTGAACATGGCTGACCGAGTTTTACTGCCTCCTTAACCTGATCCTCCATGCAACCAAGGAGGACTCAATCACAACTATCCCCTTGCTGGCCTTTGGCCTCCCCAGTGTCTCGCTGACGATCGGTAATAGTTTATAAATTAAACTTTTCCCAAAACCTGTTGTGAGTAGGGCCTCAACATCACCTCCATTCAAAGTGTTAACAAACACTCTTCTTGTTCGGGCATCAGTTTGACAATACCGGGAATATTCTCCACAACAGAGCGAATACTGCTCCCAGCCTGCCCTCTGTTCATTGATTGGCCAGCTGTTTTCAGGCCGGAGGAAAACTGAGACACATGTTGATGTCTCAGACTGAGTAGGCTACAGAAGCGAACTGAAATAGAGTGGAAGTACGAAATCAGACGCAGTCAGGCTACTCTTGAATACCAGTTTGGCATTTTAAAATAAATTGAAATAGAAAACAGTTATTTTAAATGATTATAATATTTCACAATATTACTGCTTTTGATTAAATAAAGTCTTAATGAGCATAAGATTTTCTAAAACAATAAAAAAATCTTACCAACATTTGAAAGATAACGTACACTTATAAACTGTAGCCTTTTTTTCCCCCCAATAAAACAAAGCAAATTTTTGTCCAATCAATCTTTCTAGAATGAAAAACACATGATGTTTTGATGGCACTACAGGAAGAACGTTTACACTTTTTAGGAGTATTAACCTATACAAACAGCTTGTGTGTGCATGAGATAAAAGAAAGTGTTTTAGTCATCAATTTCACAGGGTTTACTATATGATGATTGCAGACAGGTCTACCTAAGATCTGGTCTGATCCTTTTGTACAGTTAGTTGTCATAAAGTAGTGCTGCATTTATCAGACACTGGTTCTATTGAAACATCTGATCAACAGATAATGCCAGCAGAGAGTTAACAAAGTTACCCACAACTGAAGTGGACTTCAAATATTGTTACGGTTCTGTGGCCAAAATCAATGGTTTCCATTTTAAATGTCTGGAGTCTTCAGACTAAAATTTCATTAGTACATAATACAAATGTCAGTTTAACTAGGTATTGTTCAACATGTTAATAAAGCCAATAAATTGTTTGCTTGTATTTCTAACTAATTATGTATTGTCATAATGTTTTGAGTTTGTTTATCTCAAGACATGTAAAAACTGTATAATTTCATGTCTTATTATGAAAATAGATTAATAGTTTGTTAAACTAAGATAGGCCCAAAAAACATTCTCATTTGTACTCTATAAAACAGTTTTGATGTATTTCTCAATGATGTGTTTTTCACAACCAAAATGTGTTGCACTTAAATCCTTCATTTCATTTAATCCTTTATAATATATTTATTTATTTATTTTTGCCTATTCTAGTTCACCTAAAATTCTGTCATCATTTACTCATCCTCAAACCTGTATGTCATTCTTTCTTCTTTTTTTTTGAACAATGTTGTTAATCAAACAGTTCTGGTTCCCATTGACTTCCATTGTATAGACAAAACATTTTTTCAAATTATTGTCTTTTTTTGTTGATGGCAGTTTTTGGGTGAACATGGGAACCTTGTATACTTTCCAAAGAGACTGATCAATTTTTGATTTTTCATTGCAATGTTGATTCAACTTCAAGCACTTGTATATAAACGACTCCCGTCCTACTTAAATCTAAATCGAACAAATGTGTCACTCACCGGGCTGTTGGCTCTTTTGCACTGTTCCATGCAGGTGCAAAGTTACTGCATTGCAGAAACAATAAGATTGTTTTGTCTCTCGTGTCTCAAAGGCATTTGTTTTTGTTTATTTATTCTCATTTGCATACTTGAGTCATTACCTTTGTAAATTGGATAAATGTTGAGGAGATTTCTGGTCTTACAGCGTTATGTAATAACTTACCTTATACATAATCAAGTTTGAACAAATGAAGAGCAGCCAAAGAAAGTTCATGTTTATGCAGAAATAAACATTTTGATTAATCTCTTGTATGCTTTAGTTTTCTTTCCGAAATTGCTCTCTCTAGGAGTGAAGTAGTTTCAGCTTCACGTCGCCCACGGACCGTCATTCTGAAGGTCTGGCTACGCGAGACGACGAGCCCAGTAACTTTTACGCAGTATCAGAAGTGAAGACCTGTCTAATGAGATGCAGCGAGTGACTGGGTCTTACAAGACTAACCATGTGGGCTAAATGACTTGTAGACTGTTGGCAGTGTTTACCAAAAATAAGGTACAAAGATAATATCAATTTTGTTGTGTTTAAAATGACCTACTCTCATGCTCAGATTGTCTACTGATGAATCATCTATTAAGTCTGTCTATAACCATCTATAGTTGACCCCAGATGAGATTGAAAAGCTGTTCAATTACTATGCAATATTTTAATGCGCTGAGAGCTATATTGATTTTTCATTTAAAAAAAGAAAAGAAAAGGAAATCACATATGTTTGTACTTAAGTGATGTTGCCATACGTGTTAAACGACAGAGTATTTAGATTCATACACGCCAGATTTAAATGACTTTTTCAGGGAGTTTGCCGTACGATTGTAGACAGCTGTTTAAATGTTCTACTGTTATCGGATCGTTTATCAATCTGGATAAATCCAAGCAAGTTAAACATCAAAGAAATTCTTCCAGTCTGACCTTATCGGACCTCTTTCAGCCATCTGCTGTGTGTAATGGGTTATAGACAAAAATAATATATACATACTGTATGAGCCATTGTTCTGCAGTTCTTGTTATGAGCATAATGAATGAAAACATGAACACAAAAATAAGTACTCAGTTTGGTTTGATAGTTATTATTAAGCACACTCTAAGTAAATTACAATGCTTTGTTTTAATTGCATTACTTAAATTTCACCACTCAAAATATGTAGAAATGCACATAATAAAATGATGTTTGCAAAATGCATTTGCATGACTCACGCTGTGGTTATTCTACGGAAACTGGGTCATAAGCACATTTTTGTATAATTTTAAATGTGTTTGTGTTAATAAGCTGCACTCTACGTTTTAATATTTTTTGGAGGGTAATTATTTTCGGGAAAGTAACAAGGTAGACCAACTTTGATTCAGGAAACTACTCAGTGCTTCTTAGAAAGAATTTTGCTGCTGATATTTCCATTTTTCAATTATCACTTGTTCTATACACAATTGCAGCAACTAAGATGTACTGTATGATCATCCTCTACTGACCAACATAAAAAGTAATGATCAAATATAAAAAAGAGTAGACCTCGTCAATATGATGTCAATAGGTTTAAAGCATAATTTGAGCACAACTTCAAGTATATGAAATGTCAACTAAAATATATAAAAAGTATAAAGAAAACTATTAGCTTTTTAAAATTGTAATTTGTTTTTATTGAAATGTGTATAGTGCTAATACTGGATGGAAAAGATTAATACACAGACAGAACAAAAATTGCATCTTCATGCTATATACGTATATATATATATATATATATATATATATATATATATATATATATATATATATATATATATATATATATATATATGTGTGTATATATATATATGTATATATATATATGTATATATATGTATATATGTATATATATATATATATAGGTTACAGAATTGTTGTTTATAAATGTATGAACATATTTAAAAATCTCACTATTTACACTTTATGTAAGAGGGATACAGATTTTGTAAAATATCATGGTTTGTCTTGTATGACCACGGCATTATGAACTCATCATTACCAACCCTCCTCTGCCCATTGTGTTCAAATGGCAGTGGTCAGAACGCCTCTCATGATGTCTAGGCCAGAACTTAATCTTTACACCATTATGTTCTATTTATATCTGGTAATTGTTGTCATCTGATGGTGAATGATCAATCACAGTGCAGTTGGACTACAAAGCCGGCAGTTGTTTTAGGGTCACATGTATCCACACTGTGAGAAGAAAGACTGTCCTGTTCACAGCAGCCTACATCACTGTTAACAAAGCCACCGCTCACTGTTCACCAGGCCAAAGCCACAATGTGCCATTATGGTAATAGGATAATGTCAGGGATGAAGTCACATCGGTCATCAGGTTGCTAATGTGAATCATGATGATCTGTTATTTGTTTTGTTTTTTTTAGTTCAGATGATTATATAGAATGAGAAAGCTATTCAGGATGACTTTAACGCATCCTTATTGCAAATGAAGTGGGAATAATAGCATAGCTGTTTTGGAATTCGGTTAATTAGTCTCTCCGCCCGTGTGAATATACCGCCCACAACTGATGAGAAAAAAAGGTTTTAAAAATCATACTCTGCCGTCAACATGCTTCCAGATGTGTATCAGTGAGTCAAATCTGTTGCACAAATTTCAGTTCCCATGAATGGATTTTTCATTTGAACATAGCAGGTGCTGAGAATGTTTGTCTTGTAATTCAAACTAGACAAGACTGCGAATGTAGGGGTGGACGTAAGGTGCTGTGAGACATTTCTTTATAGAATGGCATGCAGAAGATGCCATCCTAATCCCATAAATGTATCACTGAAATAACTATCCTGAGATATCACTCACAGCCCTGGTGCATGTGAGCAGTTAAATAAACAGTGGCCACGAAACGGGATCAGATTCTGCCTATCATTAGTTTTTCTCACAGGAAGGGAAAACGGAAGCCCATAGCAGTCTAACAGAGTGCAAGTATTCTTCCCATTCGTTTTTTTAAAAAGTCTTCATTACAGAATTAAAAGCTACCAACCCAGCCAACATTTGTATGTGGGGCCCATGTATGAAATGGGCTGAAAAATGGGACCCATATGGGATTGTCCGCGGGTTACATAATGGCCCCATGTTAATTGCCCAGATGAATTTCATGTAGGATTGTTGGTATAGGTGGGACTCAAGTAGGCAACATGCACAAGGCCCATCTCATCCCAGCTTTAACCTAGTCAACATTTGTGGGGCCAGTGTGGGTTTGAAATGGGCTGGAAAATGAGCTCTGTATGGGATTGTCTGTGGCTTCCATAATGGCCTCATGGTAATAGCCAGGTAACTGACGTCTTGGGACGTCTTTTGACCATACGTCAACATCCGCCTTTTTAGGGTACCCTTAAACGTCGGTTAGATTAAGTTTATCAGATCCTAAACCTACCCCTAAACCAACTGACTGACGTTAAAGGTAAAGCGTCAGTTGTATGACGGTCGCCGGGATTGTCATCTAACCGACGTTTAAGGGTACCCTAAAAAGGCGGATGTTGACGTATGGTCAAAAGACGTCAGTTATATGACGTCTTGGGATGAGATTGTGTTAGGTGGATTTCATGTAGGATTGCTCTTGGTAGGCGGGACCAATGTTCCCTCTATTTTTTTTTTTTTTTTCTTGTTGAGCAAAACTTTTTTCTATTGGGCGGACATTTTTCGCCACCTGAGCAAAAATATTCTTTATACCTGACCTGTACAGCCTACGTAGAAACATAATGGTTTCAACAATCAGTTGTAACTTTTAACTCAAATGTGCCATTTCTATTTTATTTACATTTATTTATTTAGCTGACACTTTTATCCAAAGCGACTTACAATTGCTATATATGTCAGAGGTCGCACGCCTCTGGATCAATTAGGGGTTAAGTGTCTTGCTCAGGGACACATTGGTGTCTCACAGTGGATTCGAACTCGGGTCTCTCACATCAAAGGATTTATGTCTTATCCACTGCGCCATCACCACCCCGTATTTGACCATTGATGTAACTTAATGGTACTAAATCATATTTTTTATAAACAAGCAGTTAATTAAGAAGTCACTAAATGAAGCACATTTTTGGTTACCTGATATATACATATATATATTTTTTTTTACATGTGCTGTTAACTGTACAGTCCTTACCAAGAAATCCTATGAAAAATAATATACAAAATCTTCTGCAGGACTGGTCAATTTTTTACAATAATAGAATAAATGAAAGAAAAGTTAGCTGTTACACTAAGATGGTTTGGGGAAAACCATAAAGTGTTTTTGTACAGTCAATTAATTGGGTACAGGAGGCATTAAACCATAAAGTCAAATCTGGTGCAAGTCTCTAAAATGGTTTGCATCCAAAGGGAATGTTTACATACTGCAAAAGTTTCACTTTAGATCTTCTGGGGGACCTGCACACTCAACCATATCAGACCTCTCTAAACAAACAATTCACTGCATATATAACAAACGCAGCAATATTCTGCATACATATTGTCCCTTGCATTTCGAGTCTCAAACTTTGCCTCGAGACACTGATCAGACTTGCATGAGGTCAGTGTTCATTATTGGATGCTGCCATGTTAAAGATAGCTGTTCTCCCCTGCCGATGTTTGTGAGGACCCCATCACGTGCCTGAGGCTCCTGAGCCTGGCCCCTGACACCACACAGCATGAGCCAATATGAGCCAAGCTGCCAGTTCTCTCCATGCTAATGCAATAGTTTTATTCCATACATGTATACGATATTGCAGTCCATAAACTGAGCACACAAAAATTATTTGTAGATATGATCAAATTCATGCATGTGAGGAGCCACATTTGTCCATTAGTTGGAAGTTTCAAGAGCTTATTTTCGTATCATCAGTCTAAAAATCTGCTGAAATTCAATCGGCAAGTTACTTTTAGCCTTAAGATGTTTTGTGGATATGGCCCCTGGTCTTCTGCATGTGCTTCGCTAAACATAGAGCCGTTTTACTCAAGATGCCTTCAAAGGTGCGAACAACAATTAGCATAACCAATGTCCATCTCATTGATATCTAGACTGTTTTTTTTTTTCTTCTTCTTCTTCACACTAACATTCGGTCATTAAAACTGAATTACACACCAACCATTCAAATAATTAGCTAATATATAAGTGTGCACTGAGACAGGAATAAAGCAGAGAGAGAATCCAAATGCAAGCACATTTTAATGAAACAAACAGATCATCCAGGGCAAATAAAGGAACACAGAATTCAAGACAGGAACATGGAGACAGATACAAGCAACAGCACAAACAAGCTGAACAAGATAACAAGTGGGCAGGGCTAATTAGAAACACCTGGAGAGATTAATAAACATAATGGGAACTGCTAACATGGGACAAGACAGGGGAACACAGATGTGAATCATGACAATAAGTTAGCTGATCACCTTAAAAGTCCACAGATATTCGTAGTCTGTACGGATGTTAACACTTTCTCTGACACGCCGATGCAATTAATATGTTAGTTCATGTGATGTTCAAAATAAAGCCTAAATGCACCTTTAAATTTGATCTAAAAATGTTATTTAATTTGACTGATTTTCTGTATTTTTTTATTTTCTGTAGAAATGCAGATGGACGTTTAAAGAGGACATTTGTAATGTGGATTTGGCAAACCAGTGCATTTTCTCCAGTCTCGAGGTAATTGTTTGTTTGAATGAGCTAAGAAGTGTTATTTTTGTAATATTTATAGTATTTATCAATATTTTCATTTCTTTATATATATATTCAGTTTTCATTTAAATTTCAGTTTGAGTTGAAATATTTTTGTTATGTGCTTTTGTCATTTCTATTAGTTATTAATTATACTGTATAGCTTTAATATATTTTGGTTACAGTTTTTGTTTTAGTAATGTTAGTACTAATTCCAATGCAACATTTCTATTGTTTTAAGTATTTTAAATAGTAATTGTAGTTAACAATAACAACACTGGTTTTCAGAGGTTTGCACCTGTACGTTAAGTTATTAAGTTAAGTTCAACACAATAATGATTTTTGAGAGTACAAAAAAAGTAAATATCACATTCAGAATGTTGCTAGTTGGTCAGATTAACTTGCGTGGGCCATTTTACAATATTAGTGGCAAGTGCTGCCACTCTATCCGTTAGTCAGTGAGTGTGAGTGGGAATAAGTTAAAATTCGAGGCCATTGTGTCAACTTTACTCAAGTTGATCATTAAACTACACCAGAATATGAAACTATAATCCAAGTCTGTTAGACTGCTCTTATTTGGTCAATATTAAAAAGCAAGCACAGAGTTCACAGTCAAGATGTTTATTAATTTCTCATGACAGTACAATGATATTGCAGCTCTAAATCTGCTCTTCTTTGGTATAGAAGGTTACTTGCTGCTTTTCTTCTACTTGAGCAGACCCAGCAATGGTGTATTTCAGATTGTGCCAGTTAATGTAATCCCCAAGTTTGTATTTGGTCTTTTGGACCATGTAGGTCTTAATCTGACGGGGGGAAAGGGCTTGTTTGTGCACGTGCACATCTGATATAAAGCCTGTGAAGACATTAGTTAGCTGGAACCCTCCATCATATCGGGTCTGATGCTGGCCGAGTGTTATGACGGGTGCGTCATTGAAAGCTACCTTAGGGTCCACCACCCTCCTAATGCTGGCTACTTCATTCACAAACATCTGTGCAAGACCGCTGTTGGCATCCCAGGTCGCACACACCGAGTTCCACTGATTTAAATTGAATGTCAACCCTTTGAATTGAACAGGGGTGTTGTGAATCGACATCTGGTATTGTTTGAGGTCAGCTGACCAAGATAAAGAAAAGTCTTGAGGGTGGGATGGCGTGGCCAGAGAAAACAGACATGGGTTGGCGGTCAGTTGGTCAGCGTAGAATCTCAAACACACGGTGACTGCAGGCATATCCATGGATTCATTTGGGTGGAGCTTCACCCAGCTGCTGGTGGTCAGCTCTGGGAATGTGATGACCTTCTCCCTCAAACATTGTTGTTCTGTTTTCGTCTCTGTTGTTCATGTAATAAGATGTTTTGAAAAACGTAAGGTATTAATCAAACAATGTGAACCCACACAGGTTGACCCATGATACTACAGTAGTTGATTAAAGAGCAAATATGCAAAGGCAAAAATGAGATGAAAGCAGTCTAAATGAATTCTCTTTCCCCTGAGGTATTACAGTTTTTTTTTTATTCGCTTTGGTACTATTTTCACAAGTAAGGTGTACATTTTCAAAACTCTTAGTACAAAAATCCAAACTGATCACACTTGTAACGCAGCTAGTCATTCTTTCAAAACCTGATGTAATGCTTTCAGTCAGTTGCACATGTTTTCAGTCCACATAATAATTATTTCAAACACAAGATTATTGTAATATGTAATGAGAACATTTGGTTTAATCACTGAAACACAACAATATGATCTTCTTTCAGTTTAGTACTTTTAACAATCAGTTCATCCAACAGCAAACAATGCAAGATACATGTTTCAAATCGGCCTTAGAAGTGCTGAAATGAATATGCTACAGTACTATAAAAGACAGATTACACAGTTTTACTGTAACATTAGGCCATACACTTACAGTACCCAACATTTACATAATCTATAATTTCCAAATATCCATCATATATGTAGGCCTAATCAAATGAAGGATCAATGAAGACATCCTTTACAATCATTTAGGCAAATGATAGTTTTTATTTTTCAGATATAATTGTAATATAGGTATACTTTCTATAATGAAATGTATCTAAAGAAGAACAAAACATAACATTTAGTGCACACATTACAGTACATAGTGGCCAATTGTGGTCAGACTGTGAAAAAAATTGTGAAAAAATAAAAAAATAAAATTAGCTATAACGAGTATTCATCATGTGTGGTTACTGGTTACATGTAATTTACCGTAAATAGAATACAAACACACATTTTATTTCTGTAGTTCTCAAAATCCATATACTGTATATTGCTGAAATGAAAATCTATAGGTTTACCAAATGATTATTTGATTAACCATTACGATCTGTTGGATTAAATAATAGACAAAAGTATTAAACTGAACAAAAAGAGATGCAAATCAAAAGTTTGATAGTAAGAGCTTTATGAAAGGCAGTTACTGTGAATGAAACAATAATGTAGATGAAACACTTATTTTGTGTTGTGAAAAGGATACTTTGTGATTGTGTGAATTGTACTAACACAGTTGAAAACATGATGAAATGTTTGAAAAAAGTGCACTTTTGATGATCTGTTGTGATATTAGCACTAAGAGTTTTGAAAATGTACACCTTACTTGTGAAAATAGTACCAAAGCGAATAAAAAAAAACTGTAATTAGATGACCTCTGCATTTAAAAACAATGTATTGGTAAGTTGTTAGTATTACATTGTTAGTAGGCCTACTTACGGGATAACACCAGACCACAGCACACAATAAAGAAAACGTATGACGCGAGCCTCTGCATGGTCCTCTTGGGTCGAGTCAAGCACGAGAGAGGTAGCCTAACTGAGCTCTTCACTCGGCTTTTTTTTATATTACACTACTAGTGAGGAGGACACAGCATGTTAGTGCTGATTAGGCAAGTGTAGATAAGGAGAGGGGCTGCCCGATTTGGCCAAACAACAACCTTATGCAACACAGGCTCACAATGCATTACTTGCACAATGTTATATGTTATTACGTATCATGTAACTAGCTCCATATATGCAGTATGTTCAGTTTTAGCGTACTAAGCTTGCTTGATAGCGTATTTTGCAGAAATGTTGCCTGGGCTGCAATTGCGATCTGGGATATGAACTAAAAATGAGTTGGAGTTGCTTTTTAAGAGTAAAAACACTTGGGTTCAAACTTTATAAGAACAAACTAAGACCTCTTTCAGTGGTCAAATTGAATCGAGTAAAATAAGTAATAAATAAATTGTCTTTGCATTGACCTTGAGTACTTTTTGCAGGACTTTCAGATTCTTTTTTTGTTATGATAGTGTATCAGTCCACATCAGTCTCACTGGTGTTTTACAGTAACTCAGTTTGAATAATAGTAATAATAATACTTTATTATCTGGTGAAATGCTGAAAAATTCTGTTACATTTGGAAATTATGCAAATGTAAAAATATAGTGAACCTGTTACAAATTGCATTCTCAAATGTGCATAAGTTGTGAACCGAGCCACTCTGAAACCGCAACATACGCTGAATGCGTGTAAATGAACATAGTGCCACGGTTCACTCAGAAACACAATGCAACAGACTATTTATTGAATTAAATATCTGCGTTTTATGATTTGGTTATTGCACAATGGCTTTTTATTTAAATGTATCATATAGCCCTTAAAGCAGCTTTCACTGACTTATTGATGTCTCCTTTTGTGATCAAAACTTGGCTATTGAGGCTAAATTATTATTACACATCCTGCACATACAAAACAAAATGAAACGCTCATCACAAGAAGAGACAACAACAAAGGTGAATGTCAACATTTTTAATTGTTTTCATAGAATACTTTTTACATTTTCACAAGCTAAGAAGAAATGTGACAGATTGTGTAGGAGTCTTGTATTTGCATTTTAAATGCTGTGGAGCAATAAGATGTGACTATAGAGAAATATAGATTTTTACAATGTGGGATTCTCACTTTCCTGCTCCCATCTGACGCATACAGCAACTTTGTGTTGCGTTCAAAGCCAGAAAAGAATGCCTGCGTAGAATCCATACCAATAGCCTTTATTGCATTTCCATCTCTCATGCTTGGTTTTTTTAATGCTCATACTTTTAAAGTTCCTGTCCTGCTTACCAGCAGAAAATACAACATTACAATAAATAAACCCATAATGCAAAAAGATACAAAAATAAGAGTTTCTTTCCCTTTTCTTTTTGGCTTACCATAAAACAATAGTGTTATAGTAAATGTATATGTCCTTCATTTGAGTTACTAGACAGCAATAATAACAGATGTACAGTAAGTCTTCAATTTGTACTGTTATCTCTAAAAAAAATATACTGTATATATAGTTACTGAGAAAAACAATAAATCCTCATCCAATATGATAATGCATTGTACAACCAGATCCCAATTCAAATATAGCAGGCTCTATAAACAAAGCTCATGTTGAAGTATATATATGTTTGTGGTTTTTTTTATGTAGCACTTAAAATGTTCTGTAAATAACATGAAGTACAACCATACATAATAATTTTTTTGTTCAAAATGCCACATGAATCAAAGCAGCATGTCATAGACTCGAGGTGGTTTAACTGCACATGCCTCATACTGACATATAGAATTCTCACTGATTTGAAGTAATTATGGTGCAGGATCACTGATACTTTCAGTAACTTTTGTATAGACATACAGTACAAAAAACTGGCTACAGTATATAATACATACATGACTAGTTTGCATGTTTAGTTTGGGCCGAAGTATGAAAATCTCCGTCAAAGCAACATCAGAAAGGCAATTTACACTTGATAGATACGCTGATGCCAGTTGGTTTAGCCAGTTGAGTGGTGATACTCAATTTATAGATACTTGTATATGCAATTGTAAAATAGAACCTTGTCCAAAAATCAATAGCTTTCCAGCCTAAGTCCATGTTTTCTCTGTAAACTGTGGCATAGGAGTTATGAAACCCCAGTTCTACTGACATATCCATCCAGTTAACCTGTGACCTGATCCTCATGTTCAAACAAACAGCATTGCGCATCCACACATGCAGCCACACACACACAAACAAATAGGCTCCTCCAAAACCAATGTCTTATCAGACAAGCTACTGTCCTTTTGGTCATTCAGTTAAAGCTGAGCTGGAAATTCTTGATAATTAAACCCACCTTTCATTTTCTGTGACTTTTGATATGTTTGACCTACAGACGGGCCAATGATGCTATAGAAAAACTACAGAGGACGAGCACAATTTGTGAGAATCTAATTTTCACCAAAACGTCAACCAAAATAAAAGATTGAAGACCATTTGTGTAAATAAACAGTGAGCACATCTCTATAGTGTCTTGTTCTCACGTTTGTGTGTACCAGTGAGCAATGGATGGTGCACACTGCATCTTTAAGTACACATACGCACAGATAAGATTAATCTCTACTGCGGTGACAGGAGTCCTTATGATTTCTGGCCCTCGAAACACCAGCGGTTGCGTAGACGGCACAACATCGCACAGGAATGCTGCAATGAATCCGAGGCACTCTTGCATTTCTTTCACGTTTCGTCTTCCAACGCAAAATCAGGAGAGAAGAGACGGAAACTAAAGTACACCAATACCACTTAGTTTCATTGCATCAACAATAACGAAAGCTCTTAAAAAACAGACCAGCGAGAGAAAGAGAGGATGGGATGGGCTAAGAGAGAAGGAGAGAGAGAACGGAGTACAACAGATTGACCAGGAACAGCGATTGACTTTGTACAAATTGTGACTGTCCATTTTTTTTATGTTCTTAGGTGGCTACAACATCAGCGCGATGAAGATGCAGTGCAAGGAGGTTGCCAGTAGGAGCAGCAGAGAGCTAAGGGCTGATAAAGACACCTGCCGAGTGGACGAATTCCTGGAGATGTCATTGGAGGAGCTGGGGTCATCGATCTGTGGGTCCTTGGAGGAACACAACAGTAAACAGGTGAGAAAGCGGATAAGCAATTATTCTTAACAGCCAAGAGATGGTTAGATAAGACACAATGCACATATTTTTCCAGTATGATGTTTTACCTTGAACTCCTCTATCAGAAATTGTACGCATATGTGCTTGGCTTTTCAAGGCTTTTAATACAGCGTAATGAGTCCTTCCTTTTTTAAAAACTGGACTTTCACCTTGCAAACAACTGCTAATGTCTTGAAAACGTCCAAAAAACAGCAAAAAAAAAAAAAAGTGATAAAAACATAAAAATGCCATTCTGTCTGAGTTCTACCTAACATGGGTTCAGATATCTAAGAGATTAAAAAGCTCTTTGATTCTGCAATGAAATTATTTGCTGAAAAGAGGTCCTCATTTTTAGGGGCTGGTTGGACCTGCCGTTGCAACACTAAATGTCATTCTAGCATATAATGTTGCTTTTATTATGTACACTGACATTTAGTGAACTTTAAAAGGCAGAAGATAAGCAACGTTCACATTTTGCCATTGCCCACCGTAAAGATCATGTGCATGCCAGGCGGCAAAGGCCCTCTAGTGCCGGGTCAAAGTTCAGCAGAACTGGGCTAATGTGACATGAGATAATTACTGCTTTATCTTTGTTTTCATTCATTATTATTCATCCTTTCAATACCACTTGACATAAATCAGATAAATGTCTGGTGGTGTGCATAAAAAGAAGCATACTTACCACACATAACACATCTATTGTGTTGTTTGTCTTTTGCTTCTGAGCCTAGAATGGAAAAATAAAGCTCTATTAAATCAATCTGAAATGAAATCATAACATCTTAGACCAAGAAAATCCTTGTCGAAAAATCATTGACAAACTCAAACTGTTTATAGCTGCAATTTTACAGCATTGTATTAGTAATGTGCTTTATTATGTTATTGTGATTCTGTCATCACATACAGTGTCAATATACTGTATCCATAGAGAAGTAAATGCGCATGCAATTTGATATATATCTATTAATTAAAGCCGGTAGGTTACTGGAAGGTTCTCATTTGAGGCCACCTTATATTTCTCACAAACATTAATCAAATTTTAGCATTTTAAATGTAACCCTTCCAGTAGCATACAATTAAGTATGGATTTCACATCCTTATGTGTGTGTTGTGCACAGGTATGTGTGTCTAAGGAAGTGAGAAGCGCTGGTGATATAGGAGAGCTGGTGACAGTATAATGAATGGATTCTTGTGTGTTGGCGGTTCGGTATCCTCCTGAAAGGAGCCGACTTGATTCTAAGCCAGAGCCCAGCATGATAAAGCAATGCCTCGACCTCAAACATTATAAACAACCGCATCTACGGACCAGCATAAATAGGATTTGAGGTTTAATATCAATGATTAATTTCTCCCAGAGTGGTCCTAGCACCCTTTAAACCTTTTCAAAATTGAAGAAATAAACCAACAACATAGAAAGTATAATTCTCATGCACACAAAAAAAGTTGGATAATTGTCCTCTGAACACATCAAGTGCGGTTTTAATTACATTGAAGCAAAAACGCTCCCGAAGTGCAAGATATGTCACTCTAATAGTCCAGAAAAGGAAAAATAGAACAAAACTCATGAAATTGGCCCTTAATCTCACTGAATCACTTGACAGCATACTAAGCAGAGAGTTTCTCACTTTAATTGTATTTTTAGAACATGAGTTCACACTGAACTAAGAGATCTGGTTTGTACGGCTAAAGCAGAGCATTCAGTAATTTAGCAAATGTGCTCAATACTTGCATTTCGACACTTTTACACACTCTTACACGAAGTATTACCATATGTCTTTTTGTTTTGAAGGATGTAATGCACATCTGGCTCTGTCATTTTACCCACACGTAAACACGCAAAGGCAAAAACCCTTTCTAGCATATAACTGAAGGGGGACGCAAGCAGTAAACATCTCGGTTCTAAACGAGAGCGAGGGAGAGGCAGTTTGATAGGCCATGTTAACATGGCATTTGCATACTGGAGTCGTCTCACTAGTTTTCCTGGAGGTCAGCTGCGTGTGCTGCGATCATTTGTAACTGACGACGAAAGACTGACAGACATATCCCATGAGTCTGCGCTCCCTGTATCTGTTCTTCTCCTCATTTCCGCGTTGACAGCTGCTCCCCCTCAGAGGACTACGTTTAGCAGCGAGGCTAATACAGAAACATGTAAACTCATTAACTTCACTTTCTCCTGCTGCTGTGCTGCTCTCTGTTGGAGTGTATGGGTGTGAGTGTGGTGTGTTCGGCCAAATTTCTGTGATTATATATTTGCACGGTCTCTAATTAAAAGACGAATGCTGTACACTGTAAAAAGTAATAAGTTGACTTTACTAGGAAAAGCTGTGGAAACTGATTGCCTCAAAATTTTCAAGCAAATTAGGTCATCATTTTTGAGTTGATACTACTCTCTACTTCTTTGTAGAGTTAACTTGTGTATTTGTAGAGGTTACCATAAAACTTGAGTACAGGTAACTTAATAATCTCAAGTTAAGGCAACTTACAGATTTAAGTTGAGATTTGTAAGCAGAACTTACACAAAACAGTTAATTTAACATGTCTGCTTGTTCTACTTACTAGAGGAATGTGTGGAAACTGATTGCCTTAAATTTCTCAAGCAAATTGTACTCAAAATTCTGAGTTGAGAATACAAAGAAAGACAACACATTTGGCAAACCACTAGAATGTTTATTTGTTCAACAACAATATGTTAAAACATTACTGGCCCGCCAACAACATTTTAGAAATAAAGCACATAATGCACTCAAGAAAAAAAAACAAAGTACTAAAGACAATAAAAACAATGTTTCTTTGTTTTTAACATCTTTACAAAGTGGTTGAAAGCAGAGCATGCAAGTCACACAGTTTGGTACAGAATTCCTTTCCTACTACAGTTCTCTTTAAAATTCTCTTCTTATAAAACTATTCCAAAACCAAACAAGTAACATTAATAAGGCTTTTTTTTTCTTTCCTTTTTTCTTTTCAACAATTGAAAAACAGTGAAGTATCTATAAAACAGTACTGAACAATTTTCTTTAGAGTTCTCTTAAATGAACACTCCACTGTTTTATTTCATATTAAGGGAATAGTTCACTTTGAAATTAATTTTTGATATGTTGTATCTTACTTCAAGGGCATCCAAGATGTAGGAGTCTTTGTTTCCGCAGTGGTTTCAATTTTGATATTTTTAGGTCAAAGCGTTCTCGTCTGTCAGTCACATAATGCAGGTCTATGGTCACCACCACAAAGAGCATGCACAGAGAAGTCAAAATTAAACATGATTTAATGACTCGTAAATGTAAGTACACATTGATGGCCTAAGACACGAAACGAGCGGTTTGTGTGAGGAAACGAACAGTATTTATATCGTTTTTACCTCTTGTTAACAGCCATGTCCAGCTGATCTGGATCAGATGTCCAACTGAACCGCATTGAACCATGTCCAACGTTCTGCAAGAAGTGATCTCGCGCGTCTACGTCACGCATTGTTTACACAGAGATTTACCTTTCACTAAACATATTTAGATATATCGAAATCATTTTTTATTGCGATTTCCTGTATATCTAAATATGTTTAGATCTTCACAGTGAAAGTTAAAACTTCCGAAATCTCCGTGTAAACAATGAGTGACTTAGACGCGCGCGAGATCACTTCCAGCGGAACGTTGGACATGGTTAAGTTCGGTTCAGTTGGACATCTGATCCAGATCAGTTGAACATGGCTGTTAACAAGAGGTAAAAACGATATAAATACTGTTCGTTTTCTCACAAAACACTCGTTTCTTGTCTTAGGCCATCAATGTGTACTTACATTTACGAGTCATTAAATCATGTTTAATTTTGACTTCTCTGTGCATGCTTTTTGACGTGGACCCCCTAAACATCCATTGTATGACTGACAGACAAGAACGGTTTGACCGAAAAATGTAAAAATTGAAAATACTGTGGAAACAAAGACACCTACATCTTGGATTCCCTTGAGGTAAGATAAAACATATCAAAAATTAATTTCAAAGTGAACTATCCCTTTAAACTATGTTATTTCCTCACAAAGACGAGTTGATACATACCTCTCACGTCTCAGTGCGTGCACTCAATCGCTTTAGCGCGACGCGACACATTGATAGCACTTAGCTTAGCACAGTTTATTCATTAGGATTCATTAGGATCCAAAAAGAGATGAAGTTAGAAGCGACCAAACACCTCCACGTTTTCCCTATTTAAATACAGTTACACGTTGGTAAGTAGTTACATGACCGAGAATGGTGTATGATTACACCAGTGTAAAATGGATAACTATAATGTATGGCGGAATAGCACTTGAGAGCACTTCGACTTGGCGCAGTAATATCATCACTCCTAAAAAATCCTCTCATCATCAGTAGTGATGATATTACTGTGCCAAGTCGAAGCGCTCTCAAGTGCTATTCCGCCATACATTGTAGTTCTCCACTTTACACGCTTAGAAAAGCGGCACATTTTATTTTGTCACCATACTTGGTCGTATAACTACTTGTGTAACTGTATTTAAATAGGGAAAATGTGGAGGTGTTTGGTAGCTTCACTGCTTGGATCCTAATGAATGAACAGGGCTAGTTAAGGGCTATCAAAGTTTCGCTGCACGTCAGAGAAATTAAGTGTACGGCGCACTGAAACGAGAGAGGTATGTAACAACTTGTCTTAGTTAAGGGAATAAAATAGTTTAATATAAAAAAAAATGGTGGAGTGTTCCTTTAAAGACAGCTCATTGCTTGTGGAAGATTTTCAAGATCATCCACAACCACTGTACCTTCCAGAATGATTGCCGTTGTTGTGGCATCAAGATGCAGGGAGTAGGGTATGGCAGCGGTTGCAGACGATTCGGAAATCACTGTCAGAACTCATTTCAATGTTGGACATATCTTCATTGTCATCACAGTCCTAAAAATGGGAATAGCATATAACAAAAATTAGGTCATAGAACAAGACATATTTTAACGGAACACTCCACTATTTTTTCATAGTAAACTATGTTACTCTCTTTACTAAGACGAGTTGATACATACCTCTGTCGTCTCAGTGCGTGCACTCAATGCCTCTGGCGTGCGGAGACACTTTAACACTTAGCTTAGCCCAGTTTATTTAAACAGAGAAGCGACCAAACATCTCCACATTTTCTCTATTCAAATGTGGTTACACGGCCAAGTATGGTGACACAAAATAAAATATGGCGGTGTTTGGTCACTTCTAACTTCATCTCAATTTGCATCCTAATGAATGAACTGGGCTAAGCTAAGTGCTAACAATGTTTCTCCATGCACCAGAGCGATTGAGTGCAGGCACTGAGACGAGAGAGGTATTCATAGAGAGGTATTCATCAACTCGTCTTTGTTAAGGGAATAACATAGTTTAATATGGAACAAAATGGTGGAGTGTTACTATAAAGGGATAGTCCACTCAAAAATTAAAATCTTGTCTTAATTTACTCACCCTCAAGTTGTTATAAACCTGTATGAGTTTTTTCTTTTTTCATCTGCTGAACTGAAAAGAAGATATTTTGATGAATGTTGGTAACCAGACTGTTGAGAGTAGCCATTGACTTCCATAGTGGGAAAAAAAAACTATGGAAGTCAATGGCTAATCTCAACTGTTTGATTACCGAACTTCTTCAAAATATATTATTTTGTGTTCAATATAAGAAAGAAACTCAAAGAGGTTTGGAATAACATAAGAGTGAGTAAATAACAACATCATTTCATTTTGGGTGATCTATCCCTTTAAGAGCACATAGTCATTAAAATATGAAACTAAATTAATAACCCTTTGTGTCTAAATGTAAAGGCCTTTTCAAAGAGGACACAGCAGTGAATCCAGGGGGAAAAACATTCATCAAACCACTGCATGAAAAGACAAATAAAACTGATGGCCGGTTATATAAATTAAAACTAATATAAAATGTATCTTCTAACTGTCTTTTTTCTTCTAAACTCTTAATTTATCTTTCACTTTCTTTTCTCCAACCCTTACTTTGTTTCACTGTCCTGACAGTTTTTCATGCCTTTCTTCTTGCCAGATATCAACTGTTTGAAGAACAGTTAGACTGTTAAACAAGAATCACATCAGAGATGAAAATACTTACAAAAGATGTCTTGTAAAAATCATTGTGGTCCTCCTCGAAAAGTAGTGGTAGGCCATGATGAAGAACGCTGTTCGTTCCGCATTGATATTAGATTTCTGCAAAGTTATAAAAATGTATATTGAATAGCACTCGTTACTAGCAAAACGTCAGAGCAAAAAACAACAGTAAAAGCAACATATGTTTTGCAATCGAGACATAATTGTGATATGTCGATGAGCTTACGTCATTTTGAATCTGCTGCAGAATCTTAAGTTTGGAGCCAATAGTATCTCCAGATTTAGCCTTGAATTTATTGATGAAACGTTGAGCGAATCTGTCACAAAATAAAGACAAAATAAGGTATTAACTGCTTGTTAGTTAGACTTCTTAATTAATGCGTCATGTAATTAATATTTATGTGAACGACACGTGAGCATTGAACTTTCTAGAAAGAAGGAAAGTTACGTTAGCTGCTATCTAGGCCGCACAGCCAGGGTTTTTACATTTTAGATAAACCCCAAACTTAAACGATTAACACAGCATACAAACTGTAACTAATATAAAACACGTGTTCAGTAAAAATCGTTTTTTAATCTAGTAACTTATGCCGCTTGTCTCAACTGGTCTCATTCGACATAAAACTAACGTTACTTCAGTGTGTCTTTTCCTCTTACTGCACAATGAGCAAAATAAATTCTGTTTTTAAGCTATACAATGACATTAAAGTTGATAAATAGTTGTTCAAGAGGCTAGCATACCTAGTTTTGCTGCCGCATCCATTCCCGAACACGAGCTGAAGTCCCTCGTCGATGTCGTCTCGTCTTGACGTCTTCCTCAAGTTCAACCGTCCAATTGCGCAAATGCGCATGCGCGAGTTGAAAAAAAAAAAATAACCGAGTTGTTTCGTCTTATGCTGAAACTTAATAACCAAAGTAAATGTATAAAGATTTGTTTCTAAAAATATAAAGGACTGTGAAGTAGCAGCCGATGGGCTTGCTTTTTATCTTCCCAGTTATTTTTTTAAGCGTGCAGGAAAAAAAGATTCAGAACCTATTAACTATATATTAACCTATTAACTATTTTCAAACTAATTGTATGGTATTTACTAAAAATGTTGTTAATTTCACTATTATTATTATTATTACTATCCAAATTCTGTGCTCCAGAAATTTTCAACAGTGTGAAAATGCCTTTAGTACAATACACTTACCAAACTTAAGTACAATGTACTAGATTTGTTTAGTTTGACTATTGCATCCACCTAAAAGTTCACAGTACACAGTGTAATCAAGTTAAATCAACTAAGTTTCTAAAGTAAGTTAAATTCACTAGTTTTTCTTAAGTAGAATCAGCAATTACTTTTTACAGTGTATATATGGCCAGCTCTGACAGTCATCGTGAATTGTATGTTTAGCAGGGCAGTGCATTCACATATATGCATTTTGCATTGCATTTAATGTATATATTTTAATCAGTTCATGCATTCCATGGGTATCGTTCCTACGACCTTGGTGTTGTTAACATCAAGCTCTACTGTTTGAGCTACAGGAACGCTTATAAGATTATCAGTCAAAAGTCCAATTATGCAAATGTTGCTGACTTCAAACACCTAGTTCAAAACCGTCTTAAATGATGACATTTATTGTGAAAATTATGTGGACTGTGAATATCATAATATTTCATTTATAGCTGGCAAAGATATGAGTCAACCATGTAATAAGGGCAAATTTGAATTAAAAAAAGTTTTGTCATGTTTGTTAAATATGTTAAACCAACAAATGGACACTATGTAAGTATTGTCAAGTCAAATATATTTAAATAGCGCTTTCCACAATACAGATTGTATCAAAGCTGCTTCACAGTATCAATTAAGACAACATAACAGTGTTTGTTTATTCATGAAAAGACAATCAAGTTTGGTAGAGCTGATCAATGGTATGATGGGTCATTTAATTTGAATATCCCAAACTGAGCAGGCCAAAGGCAACAGTGGCAAGGAACCGAAAAACTCCATCAAGTGACCCGATGGTGTCCTAAAACTCCATCAGATCACCCATTGGAGAAAAAAAAACCTATTGTGACAAATCCTAGTTAGTCTAACAAGGTATTTTTGTTAATACATAAAAAATAGAATAGAAATGGAATAGAAAGTGAGTGTTAATGGGCCAAGTGTTATCGAAGAAGAGACATGATATGGGGCCCTATTTTAACGATCTGAAACGCAAGTATCAAATGTGAAACGTAAGTAACTTTGTGGGCGGATCTCGGGCGCTGTTGCTATTATACCGGCGGGAACACAGACTTAATAGAGAGTAGATGCCCTATGGACCGCTACTGCCTACTCGCGCTGACGAGCCGTGGGGCCGCCATCTTGAACCGGTCACCCGCTCCAAGCACATTTAATAATCATACCGAACTGATTTTCACACTTTTTTTTTTTTTTTGCTGCAAAGGTCATACATGTAGCTATGATACATGGTTCAGCATATTTTTATATTCATATTGGGCTCCAGAGCATCAATCGACTTTGGAGGGTTAACTTAACAGTAATAGAATTTTCTGATATATGATATAAAGTGACCAGACATCCGAGATCAAAACTGGGAACATAATCCCCGAAAAGGGGGGGGGAAATGAGGATATTTACAGTAGTAGTTTGACTAACATTCTGATTGAAAAACTTAATGTTGTGTCTTCAAAAACAAAATGAGGTAGTTTTTTTTTCTATATTTAGTCAGGGACAGGCAACCAAAAACGGGGACTGTCTCCTGAAACCGGTGACATCTGGTCCCCCTATGATATATGATGTAGGCTATGATCGTTATTTTGCAAATCACACACTATAAATATGATAGAGACGCAGAAACAGATAGTGGCAGTGAAGTCGGATATTTTAATAAGTTGAAGAAACAAAATATGACTATATTATAGTCATATTAAGTCGAACTTTTTATATTTGTCTTTCTCTGTCACACACTGAACTACCACGTTCTTCTGCATCTACCTCCTCCCAACACTTTGACATTTAGCAGCCCCCCTCCCAACACACACACACACAAAAGCTTTGCATGAGCTAAAACCCCCAAAAGCGGACTGTTTTGCTGAGCTTCTTTCTCTAAAATTTCGATGGCCAGTGTTATAGCAGTAATATTTGTTTTATTTCTACAATAGCGTTATTGTGTCAGTTGTAATCTAAGTCCGTGTTAGTCTCAGTTCATAGCCAGGTGAACACCGGCCGGTGCAGTAAACAGACTAACTAGCTAGCTGGCTACGATTTCAGTACGGTAATATCAAAGACCCGTGCTCCTTTTCAACTTTCTGGTATTACTCTATTTAAAAAATACAACAAATAGTACGGCGCGCTTGTCCCATGGCAGATTGGTATTATTATGGTGGATTTTTCAGGCCATCTATTTGCCTAGCATACATCGTTTTTCCAAGTTGTCGTTTTTGACAACTTACCCCAAAAGGTCATTGATAATAGCTTTTGTTGTAAGTAAGAATTAAAGGTTTTTAAATTTACGTTCAAAAATAAATCTACCCCGAAATATTCAGTGGAGTAAGAACTGACAAATCGGTCTCCCCAATATAGTAGGAGTATAGCTCTCGCAAATCAAGCATACACAATTGAAATATTCCCTTCATAAAAGCATAAATTTCAAGATCAGCAGAGGTATTTATTATCTGCGAACACACAAGAACCACAAACGCATAGGCTTTTTTTTTTTTTTTTTATAACCCTGCATTTCCTGGGGCTCATACACCAAACCCCACAATACATAGATGAAACGCGAAGATCTACGTCTGCAATAGTGGCACTGACCTGCAGGCTACCACAGAACTGGTAGAGGGAGTTATCAGCTGGGTTGAGATGGTTGTGCTCTATGACATTAGGTGATTTTTCTCGATCCTTGGCCCTCTGGGATGGTGTTGTTATAGAGGTGGTGGTTTGTACTGGGGGCATCGGCTGCCATACACTCACGTCTGTCCCATTTCCAAACGCCTGGATCGCATTGCCTACATACAAAGAGTAAAGATAGTTTTTACCTCATATTAAAAGAGAGACATGAAATGTTCAATTATTATTGGAGGGCCATTGGGCCAATAACACTATGGATAGGTTTCCCTCCTGTTTGCTGTCAAAGGCCAATTATATGGACCGCTGACAGGTAGGGCTGGGTATCGACCATATTGGATCGATACCATTGAGTATTAAAAGATCTTTTGTCTTTCGGTACCAAATTTCGATATCTAAGGGGTTAATCTCGTCAAGGTCAGTGAGCCAATAATAATGCAGCATAATTAGACATGGCGAGGCATCAAAACCCTAGTTTATGCTGGTTACGCCCAATGACGAGGCTCACACGTGAGGCTGTAGAGTGTAAGCGTTCCAGCCCCCATAGATGTAACTAACACGAAACTTAGTGTATAGGCTACTTGCCTCACAAACATGAGAAATTGCCATATAGACAGCTTGAAATATCAACATTTAAATGAAACCAATTTAAATAGAAAACAAATAATCAGATTGTGTAATCCAGATGAAAGGTCCATTTCTCTCTATAGGTGCGCTTTCACAATACTGCGGATTCAGCAACGTCAACTTCATCTTTGTAGTCAACATTGACTTGGAAAACAATAGTTTATTAATAAACAATTAAAAAAATATATCGGTCAGGAACAGGTATCAAAGTCAAGGTATCGGTATCAATATGTATATAACAAAATGAACGATACCCAGCCCTACTGACAGGCTTTTGATCTCTTTGCCATCTCCACTGAAACAGGACAGGCAGTACACTAGTCTGTAAAGAGTTTTTAAGAAAAACACATGTATGTTTGGTACAGTATGTGCGTAGTTGTTGTGGTGTTCTTTATCAGCAATGTCCTCTCTTGTAGTGCTAAGTTCTTTCTGTCGCTACGCTACCTCTTAATGTTTGTTTTTCATCTCCTCATCTAATTTTATCATACTCAAATGTAAATAGTTTGAACAAGCACATGATGAATTTGTTGTTTCTATTTTTAGATGCTTTTTTCTACATCTCTCTAGGAAATACTGGAAAAGACCCACAAGGCTCTGAGCGCTTTGATCGTCTATGAGCCCTGACACATTTTCTTCAGCAGATGAATCGTGTAGTTTTCTCTCATGTGTGTCTCTCAATGAGTCATGTTCTTTGAATCCACTCTACACTCCACCAGCTGATGTCTGGAGACCTTTATATCCACAAGGTTTTATGTTTCAAAGAAAGGAAAATGTACTGCAATATCAGGCTTTACTGCTTTTTTTTCTCAGATTACATGACGACCAGCTTAAAATAAGCTAATTTTTCTACAACACACATTAACAATGTGAAAGTGTTTGTGTAAAATATATATATATACACACACACTCAAACAGGCGCACACATCTTTGTAGGGACTACATAGGCGTAATGGTTTTTAAACTGTACAAACTGTATATTCTATCCCCTAACCCTGCCCCTATCCTTAAACCTACCCCTCACAGGAAACATTCTGCATTTTTACATTTTCAAAAAAACATTACTTAGTATGATTTATACGCTGTTTTCCTCACAATGTGGATGATTTTCAGGTTTTGCTATACTTGTATATTCCACACAATGTAATATAAACATGCGCACACACACACTGTACTGTATGTGTTTGTTGTGCGTTTTGTTTTTGTTTTTACCTCCCTCTCTTGTACGCCTCCTATTCACTTTGAGGTTCCTGTGATAGGCTGTGTCAGCTGTCAATTATTATCAGGGCTTTGTATGCTGCTCCAATCTGCTGTTGCACTACTATTTTAAAAGACTCTAAAAGAATTCCTTTAATTAAAACAGTTAAATTAGATTTTGAATCTCAGATTTTCAGACCCCATGTGTCTTTTAGATTGGGCCAGTACGTTTTTGGGAAGGTCCAATGCTGTACAACAGTCTGAGTATACCAGTATTGCTGGCAATAAAGGTGCAGGTGAATATTAGAGTGGAAATTAACATTGTCAACAATTGTTTAAAACTATTGAAAAATCTCAGTTTTACTCGAGCTATCTGTTCTGCTGAAGCTTCGCTCTGCTCAATCCTGTGCTGAGGACAGCGTGTTCCAAGGGCAGACAGACGCATAACGCTCAGGGGCGAGTGTAGGGTGTGAGGCCAAAGCGCTTCATCATAGCCTCCTAAACACCCAGATACTGACGGCGCTGGGAACAAACCCCCAGAACTGTCATGTTGCCTTAACACTGAATTCCGGTAATGAGACACGAGAGAATGAGGTAATGAGAAGAAGAGAAGGAAAGAAAAATAAAGATGCAGTTTAACCCAGTTTAACCTCCTGAAGAGTCTCCTTCAACATCCCCTCAAAGCCCTCAGCACTAAAAGAAACAGACCAAATTAAGCTCAGACTGTTCACAGATACACTCTTCCTACAGTGAATCCACCCTGGCCTAAATATTCCAAATAGGAAATAAACTTTTTTTGCCCACCATCCACAGTTGCTAAATGGTACATTTTTACCAGCTACAAGCAGCCATTCTTTAAATAAAAAAAAAAAAAAAATATATATATATATATATATATTTTTTTTTTTTGATTTAAAGAATATATATATATATATATATATATATATATATATTAGGGCTGTCAAACGATTAATCGCATCTAAAATAAAAGTTTGTGTTTACATAATATATGTGGGTGCACTGAGTGTAATTATTTTATATATATAAATACACACACATGCTTGTATATATTTTAGAAATATTTTCATGTATATACTGTATATAGATTTATATATAATTTATATGATATGTAAATATAAATATTTCATATATAAACAAAACAATTTCTTAAATATACATGCATGTGTGTGTATTTATATATATACAAAATAATTATATATAGTGCACCCACATATATTATGTAAACACAAACTTTTATTTTGGATGCGATTAATCGCGATTAATCGTTTGACAGCCCTAATATATATACAGTATATATATATATATATATGTACAAACTACAACTTGATCAGCATGATTACTTTGAGATTATCAAATCACAAGGGCTGTGATTTTACCAAGTAAAGCTATAAAGAGCGGTGTATTTTTAGTAAAATAATACAACAGTAATATTTCTTCTTTTTGTTATAATAATCATAATAATAATAATCATTATTGATGTGGTAACACTTTAGTTTAGGGTACAATTCTCACGATCAACATGTTGCTTATTAACATGCATATTACTAGGATATAGGCACATATTAATGCATTATTCTACATCGCTTAATCCTACCCAATACCTAAACTTAACAACTACCTTACTAACTATTAATAAGCAGTAATTAGGAGTTTATTGAGGCAAAAGTTGAAATTAAAAGTTAGTAAATAGTAAGAATTGGACCCTAATCTCAAAAACAATTTATCAGAGAAATCACAATTTGATTTCTTCTGTGAACAGATCTTTTAGCAGGGAATTGTTTCAAAAAGCCCTTGGCATGTTGACAGGACCTTCTTCGTCCATTATTATTTCAATTAATTTCAACGATGTCCAGCACAAGAAACTAAGTTCAAGTGCTTTCTAAACGGATCCCTCATGGATCTTTCAGTATTACAAGCCCTCCCTGAAAGCTCGCTCTTTGCTGTTTCCACTTTGTCTTGCACGCCATACTAAGAGTTTATGGGAACAAAAGGAAACACTTGGTGCAGTTGAGGAAGTGTAGCGAGCCAGAGATGTACAAGAGAAAGGGTAAAGAAAGAAGTGCGCCTAAAAGGAAGATGGAAGAGCCTTTTTAGAGGCAGAGATAAAAACGGGCTGACAGCCGGACAGCTAAAAGCCTTGAAAAACAACTTGCTGGAATCTGAAGAGATGGACAGAGCAAAGGGAGAATGAGACAAATGGACAGTTAGGAGAGAGATGGCATGGATGGACGCACAGAGTTTAATGGAGAGAAAACAAGACAGAAAAAGCAGAAGATATGAGGAGTGTTGTTTGAAGCTCAGATTGGCGTGCCTATTTTATCTATTATACTATGGGACTCTATTGAATGCTTGATTCTGATTGATTGACGAACGTCTCCAACCCCAAGTTCCAGGCAGGTCTTGACTGCATTTCAGTTCTTTATCACTTCACCAAATGATTTCAGTTATTTCAAAGGTCCTTTCAGCCTTTAAAAGAAAACAAACCACAAAACCCTACAAAGACATTGACCAAGCAAATAAATATATTTAAAAAAAATGATTTTTCATGTTCATTTCCATGTTTTCCTCATGAAATTTCATGGATTTCATTATCTATGAAAACCTTGCTCTTTCTCTCTCTGTCATAAATGCACACACAGTATAGCCACACAGACGGAAACATTCACACACAGAAACTTCTTGTCAGAACTGCCCTGCAATTTTATCAATAATATAGTTTTGCATCTGCAAAACTACATGACTATTCTCAGTATTGAGGAGTAACACCAAACTTTGTTGAGACCAATCAAGCAATCTAACCAATTGTCAGCTCTTAAATTCTGTTATGAAATTAGAAATGGAAACTTGGGGTGAGATATTAGTCCTAAACACAAGATAGTTTTAAGGACAAAAACCTGAAAAATGTTTTGAAATAAAATTTCTGAACAATTTATTGAGTTGTTATAAGCTAATAGCCTAATCTGGGCCATCAAACTATTTGAAAAATAATGCACACCCAAGGTGATTTCATTTGCTTGGTCAATATCTTACAAATAATACAGCTTACGTAAATGAAGCTGTCACTTATTGTTTTGCCTTACTTTCCTAAAGAGCCTAAATATTACCCCAAATATTAAATATTTCCTAAATAGTAGTCACAGCAGGCGCGATGACTACACAAACTTAGTCTGGTCACGCTGGAAGCTGGGCACTATTTTCAGGCGCTGTGTCATAACATTACGCCTGCTGCACTCATGATACGCATCAAGTTTCCTGATTAGTACGCAGGAATGAGAGTATAGTTCCTAGTCATATCAGCCTAGAAAATCGCAACTTTACATTTTCCGTCTGTCTTAGTGCACGATGTAACTATAGAAGAGTCAAGTTTTAAATAGGAAAAATATCGAAACACTTTGGTAATTTTTTTGGGAGAAATGCTTATGGTCTTGTGCACTTCAATGATATATGCTACTAAGCTATGCTAAAAGTGGTCCCGCCAGAACCGGAGATCGGCTGAATGGATTCAATAACAGTAAAACTCAACAGTTTAACTCTGGGGGAGTTGTAAAATGAGCGTATTTCCAAAAAAAGTGGAGTATCCCTTTAAGACTACAATTGAGGCATTTTAGGTAGTTCAGAAACAGTGCTGATTGATATAGTTACTGATATAGAGAACTATACTACTGTTTTCATTTAATTGGTCCCTAAACATTTTGATTTGGTTTTGCAGCAAAACAAATTCAAAATGTATAGATCTCATCAAAACACTGAAAATGTAAAAAAGAGATCTATTTGTTATATGGCCTAGCCCTAACACAAACTCCACATGTAAATCAGCAAGTGTGCCTCAGATTTTACTTTAGACAGAAGGGAGAGTCGGGGGAAGTGCAGTACAGTAACTCACGCAGGCAAGTGTTGTCAGTGAAGAACTCTGTGAATCTGTCGCATTCCTCTTTGCTGTTGCCGCTGTTGCTGCAGTCGCAGAATGGAGACACGCTGATCTTGGGTGAACGCAGATAATTTGGGGTCATCACCGTACCTGGATAACATGTTGCAACATTCTTTTAGATATTGTATTTTAAAAATGAAATTTCAAAGCTAAATATATGCTTGATGTGTCCCTTGTCATCTTAGATTACCCGTTATCTTGTTCTCACTGAGTTTTCTAAAAAAAAAATAATAATAATTTTGGTGCAGTGTGCCTCATAAAAACTATACTGTGGGGATGTGACACTGTTAGCCCACAAAGTGAAACAGTCTCCCACTGGTAGAACAACAACATGAGCTAATCACAGATTAATAGCTGCACTGCTGTATCCCCATGTGTCCAGCTGCTGTTTCTGTGTGTGCTGCACACAACATTCGGAGGACTTTCAGCACAAGCAAAACATGAACAAGAGAACAAACATGTTTTCACATAGGCTTTCGGTACATAGGCTTACAGTATCTGTATCTTAGTGGATTGTATGAAGAGAACAAGCAGTCAGCCAGTATTAGTTAATGATCATATATCATGGTCTGTCTGAATACTCGATTCTGATTGGTTAGAAGATGTGTGATAAAACTGTTTACTGCACAGGTAGTTCCAAGTCAGTTTAATCACTGTTCTATATTAATGTGCTGCTTTCATGAAGCACACATGTCACTTACACACACAGAAACAGGAGAACAGAAACATGTTGTCAATGCTGCCCTAGAGACTTTTATTAATAAATGAACTTACTAAATAATTAATTAATCGCTACTGAATCGCTATATTATATTACTCTGCAAGGAGGAAGTAACATTGCTGTTTTTGAAGTAATACAATCAAACATTAATGAAAGCTTTGAATTGTCAAAGTGGGCAAATGACATGGTATAAGTGGAATAATTAATGTCTAGCTGTGCATTAAACGAATTGAACGCTGCAGGCTCCACTTCACGTTGGGCGGTTATTTGCCTCCACGTTATGCATTAAAATGGTTTATTGCAAAGCTTATATCTTAAATCATATTCGTGGATTATATCTTAAAAACATCATGCAGCATGAAAGATACATTTATAAATGCATTGTTTCTCAGATGTTTTGTATGAACTTGTTGTTTATCCAAGTTACAAGACAGACTCACCAATGAGACCAGAGTACGACAGCAAGCAGTCAGCGTAGTTCTCCTTCAGACAACCAGAGAGAGAGCGGGGCTCAGACTGACAGTTAGTGAAGAAATCAGCCAGACGAGACCTGAAACACCAAAATACACTCTTTATATACAATAATTATCACCTTTTCTTGACATCTATTCTGGTAAAATGAGTACTAGCAACATTACTTTATAATTAAATACTGTTCAGTATAAATTAAATAAAACATATGTTGCCAAATCTCTGTTTGTAAAGCAAACAACACACACAGTTCTTGGCTGATAAATGTGTTGGAAGACTCTTAGCAGCAGTCTGTCGTAGTGTTAAGGACTGAGAAGGAATGTGTAAATGAATGTGCTGTGCTGTGTTTCCGAAGACACATGGTGTTGGAATAGTGTGGGATCTTTGCACAACTACACAGAGGCTAGAGATTTGGTACGCTAGGGGCTACACCTAGCATCACAATGATCATGGGTATATAAAAAGGATGGATTTAAAGAGAAAAGGCAAATAATGAGGAAAAAAAAGCGAGCAGAATGGAGAATGTGAACTGTACAGACCCGGAGCACAAGTGCAAATATATTCCATTTATTTGTATAAGTGTCTAAGTGTGCCCCCAGAATGCCAAGCGGCGGCTCTTCTGATTGAGCAGGGTCATTAGATGTCGCTCTCTCTGTGCCTAAAGACGTTTGCTTCGCAAAACTACATCCACGTTGTGTCAATGAATCCTTAACAAGCCACTTAGATGACTCTGGGGTTGCTTTCTTCTTGCACAAACCAGATTTAGGGCTGCAGTTTTTATTGCTAGACTTCAATAATCACCTCGATTGTCCTCGCAATGTGCTCTCCTGCCTTACCTTAATAAACGCTTTATTTCCCAATAGATGCAGCTTAGCTGCTCATGGCCATTTCTGTCCCTAGTGGTGAATATGTGTTATTACAGATGGCTTGCTATTACAGATGGCATGTTGTGATCTCAGATTCAGTGTGGCATTTCTTAGCACCTCTAAATAGCTCATTTTGCACTGCCATGAGTTAATACACACAAGATAAGTGTTGCCGTGAAGTGTGGATGCATGGACTTTACTGGTGAAATGCTTCTCTTTTCTGCAGTTTTGTAATGTAATAATATAATTAAAAATATGATATACTATTATAACAATTTAAGTAAAAAGCAGACTTTATTTTAAATAAGTATTTGTGTTTTATTGTGAATTATTGTTCCTCACAAAAAAAAATTCACAAAAATACAAAAAAATCTAAACTTTCACTGAAGTAAAATGTTAATGATTTATTACTTTAACTTAATTAACCTAACAGTATTAAGAAAATGCTCAAGAGAAAAACATTTTAAGTTGCTTTTTGTAAACCAGTTCAGACCTGCAGATGTAGTTGGTCTTGCATGACGCTTGTAGTGTCAGGCAGTTAGGCCTTTCTTTGTCCTCGTATGAACAGGCTGGCACGATGGTCTGGCGTCTGCGCTCAGAGCAGGCCGACTGATCCCCTAGAGGACACGAGCAGAAGAGCATACCGTAGCTGTGCTTGGGTGGCACCTTGTCGAAGAATTGTCGCAGGGCTTTGTGGCACTTCCGTTTGTTGCAGACTTCAGCCGTCGAGACTCGGCTTGTGCAGGGGCTTATGTAAGCCGAACGGTATTTCTTACAGGTGTCGTTTAGGTTGCAGGCCTTTGCTGCATTCAAGCAGTTGTTCTCTTTTGCTAGCGCGGGCTCACCTGCAAAGACAGAGATACACAATAGAAATAAAATGAATTGGTGAAGAGTGTTCCTATTGACTGTAGTGTACAGTATTTAACAGTGTTAATTTTGACGGCAAACTTTGATTTAGTTGGAGTCATAGTCTGTAATATTTTAGTCATCTAAACGGTTTTAGTCAACTAAATATCATAAGATTCTCAAATAAAATTTAAGTTTAGTTAAATTTTAATGTATCAATTACTCTACAATTTCCAAACTCATGCACTCTTTTTGAACATCCAATATAGACAGATTTAACTGCTTTGACAAGAAAACACGTTTTATCTTAAAATGAATAAAACCACTTCTCATAAAGAAACAAGAACATGTTCTTTTCAAGTAATGATATTCTAACATAGTTGAACTGAACATTCTTTAGTCTTCCGAGCAGACATATTTATTTATTTTTATTTCCTTTTTTCTTTTGTTGGATGATTAACATAAATGAAAGACAGCAGCAGGTTTATTAGACTGCTGTCACTTTAAGGCGAATACACAAATGCAAAACATATTCTCCCAAACGTAAGACATAACCGACTGTTTACATGAATACTTGCCAAAACTTTGGCATAATTTGTGTGTAGTAGTCCATTCGAGCGCGAAAAGATGCAAAACAGAATTCAATTCAGTACTCGTACTTTGTGAAATATGGCTTTCTGAAAGACGGACTGAATTGAGCTCTCTTTCGCGTCGTCCCGCTTTATCAGATTTATCCATATGTCTGATCTTTCTCCCAGATGTTCACATTGAATGTTTTATGAGACATGCAGCAAGTGCATGCCAACTTATATCCTGCAGGGTAGATCAGCGCGGTACAATTTAATTGTGCTATTCAGAAGCCAATCAGAATCAATAGCCAAACACTCTCCTTCTGTCAATTATTTTGCACGTCCTTTTGAGGTGGGGTTTTGCAGAGAGGGTGTGTGGTTGAAATGAGCATAATCAGCAGATTACATCACCTTTAAATCTGTAAAAATAAATAACAAATTATGTAAACTTTTAAAAGTTAAAAAAATATTTCATAAGGGAAATAAAAAAGAAAATAGAACAAACAAACAATGAAAAAGAGTCTAATACTATCCACAGCCCTGCTACACCAAAAAAAAAAAAAAAAAAAATTCTTTCATTTGAATACCCCATGGCACTGTCAGGCATGTGAATTAATCATCCATATTTCTGCAGGTCTGCCAAAACACAGAGGCTGTTTATAAGGAACCTGTTTTGTTTTTTTGTTTGTTTTAGGCTGTTTTTTTTTATGTTAAATGAAACAGTGCTCGTCCATTTGGATCCCTGGCTGCAGCCTAAACAAACAGTCATCTTGGCCGAACAGGGGAGTCATCAAAGCGGCCAGCGTGGCTCTTCTCTCGCTTGTCAGCTGCGGCTAATTGCTGGCTTTCTAGCACATTCCTCCATTAACTAACATTTCTGGAGACTTGCTGAGCTACAGCAGCATTTTGGTTTATAATGAGAGCCAATTAAAAACAAGAGATGGGTTGTATTAGAGCGAGGGTGGAGCGTACATGTGCATGTGTGTGTAAGGCCAGTGCTAATAAGATGGTTGTCTTTAAGGGAACCCAGGAGGAGACTGTATCCAGAGCCTATAGCAGCAGGAGGTGATGTCATTTGCTCATTTTGAATCAGACCAAGGCAAAAAACAAGTGTATGAAATGGTTTAAGCCACTTTTCCACAATCTCCAACATTAGCGTACAATACGATTGTCGCATTTTGCCCCCAGTGGCAGTCGCACAGATTTTTAAATCGGTTGTGAAGCAGCCATTTACCTTTGACTCTGTAAAATGAATGAATGATGAATGTATGAATATATCCACACAAAACTAATACGTCTGAAAGAAAAGCATGGTTTCAAAAATCATTATGTAAAAATTATACAATTTTTATTTGTGCCCATTTTACAGAAATAATTAGTAATTCTCACCTCACGCTCATAGTTTTGATTATAATGCATCACATTGAGTCGCACGTGACCTAAAAAATTCCCATAAGCAAGTACTCCATGACAAATGACTGTTAAAAAAAATATTTATCATTGAAACACACTTTCTATAGATTTGTTAAAAAAAAAATCTGATTCATCTAGTAATAAAACAAGCGAAGTCTTTATGAGTGAGTCATAAATCCCTCTTTACCCCTTTAACCCCTTCTAATACCGGACTTATTGTGGTATGAAGCTTTTCATGATCTAATCAATTCCTGCCCTAGAATTTTTTTTCTTGTTGAAAATCCTGCTTCACTCAGAAATTGTGTAAGTAAAATGGACTGGTAACATTGTTTGCGGTGTGCTTCTGATAATGATGCTGCTGAGTGATGACTCTCTATAACAAGTTAATGTCCATCTATGCTGAAGTCAAAAGTCATCAAAAAAGAAAGAAGAAAATAACAATCATCAAGGATGCATTAGGACATTTATAACGTTACAAGAGATTATATTACTTTTTAAAATGCTGTTCTGTCGATTCATGTCTATTCATCAAATAATCCTGAAAAAAAAAGAAAGAAAAGAAAAAAGACTAGCCTGGTAATGCCAAACCCTGCTACTTCGCTTTGCATCATAGACAGAGTCTGAAATGGCATAATTGAAAAGTGTTTTCTTTCTCGCGGAGGGGTGCTTATCAGAAGTATAAAATCATTGGTTACCCGTAAACCAATCACATAACGTTTGGTCATGATCTTGATCTGTGTTATTCGCCAGCTCAGCCGCTTCAAACTTCCACTGTAAACATGATGCGAAAATGAAACCGTTGAACGAAATACCGGAGTGAACATGGCTGACTGAGTTTTGCTGCCTCCTTAACTTTATTCTCCATGGGTGCAACCAAGGAGGACTCAATTACAACTATCGCCTTGCTGGCCTTTGGCCTACCCAGTTTCTCACTGACAATCGGTAATAGTTGATAAATTAAACTTTTCCCAAAACCTGTCGAGAGTAGGGCCACAACATCACCTCCATTCAAAATGTTTAACAAACACTCTTCTTGTTCAGGCTTCAGTTTGCCAATACTGGGAATATTCTCCACAACAGAGCGAATTGCATCCCATGTCTTAATATCTGCAGTCGTTTTTGATTTCCCTAACCTAAAAAAAGTACAGAAGCGATCTGAAATATAGAGCGGAAGTACGGAGTCTGACGCAGTCAGGCTAGAAAAAAACTGCATCGAGGTTTCAACTAAAATATAAAACAGCAAAACTGTTTTTAACATTAATAATAATAATAAGAAATGTTAATTGAGCATTTATCAAATAATTGCAGCCTTGATAAGCATAAGAAACTTTCGTTCAAAAACATAAAAAACCACACATATCTTTAAATAAATGTATTTTTTATAAAAAAGTAGTGTATCTTCATGAGATGCACAACGACCCCTTGACCTTCCATAGAACAATGTAAAACAACACCACTCCACTCCATCTGTTAGCCGTCTGAACTGTAATTCCACACGCACACACGCGCACAAACACACACACACACACACACACACAGTAGCATCTACACACATTTAAAGTCCATCTGCCCAGGCATCTGTCCATTCAAGCCCTTCAGCACAGAAAAGTCTCTGTCTCTCTTTTTTTGCTCTCTGAGAGTGGGTGCTTATCTTTGTGTGGAAGAAAAAGTGGAATGCAATCTCGCCTATTCATAAACAGTGTGATGTTCTCAGTCAGAGCATCAGACATGCACACACACACTTTCACACAGACACCCGCTCTCTGCCGAGTTACACTACTGTCAGATGTCATCATCAAAAAAAAAAAAAAGACATTCACACAGACTGTGTGTGCGTTATGTGCCCTTCTGATCTGATGCCCCGAGGCTGACAATAATAAAATACCTATTCTGGCTTGGCACAAAGGGCTTCAGGTTGAAACAATCCTCTACAGCTGTCTGCATCATTCACCTCTTGTATGAACCCTTAGTACCAGATGTCAAAGGAGAGACTGACCGACTCACACATGAACACACACAGACACACAATCCATATAACCAGTATATAACCAGTGTCTAATTTACACTCATCAAGCACCACATAAAAGTAAAAAGGGGCTATGGCGGTTAAATAAAACGTATTTGCTTCCAGTTATAGCTGGTAATTTTTTGAAGAATTCCTATATATAATACAAAGTTTAAACCCAATTGTAATAGCAATTTACATTTTTTTTTTTTTTTTACTAAATCTACTGGAATTAGTAAAATTATGCTCAATACAAGGCAAGCACTATTTAACTGGAGCGAATTAGAGGTGTAAGTAAGAGGAGGCAGGTGTCAATTCACCATTGGAGGGAAGATAGCGGGACCGCACAGTTGATGTTTTTGCCTGTGCCGCTGGACACAAAACGGACACAAATCGGAAAGACGGGAGACTGACAGGCTGCTCACCGGTCCGGTCTTCCGATTCCGGTCCCTGACCAGTCAATCGGTGCACATCTAAATCACACATTTACCAAACACCACACACACACACTGGGCATCTTGCCTGGTAGATAGAGCACAAACCCCCTCCCCTACTGTGTCTCATCTCTGATAAAGCCTAAAATTGATTAGTGTCTCCTATTTCCTTCCTCTTTTGGCTCTAATTTTCAATTTGCAGGAGAATCAGTCTGAATAATGACCTTGAATGCTATTAGCAAACCTGAGTGTTTACAGATCTGCTTCTTGTGTTTTAGTTGGACCTCTATCATCTGTTCTTTTCCAGTACTAGTAAAAGTGATTTTTATTTATTTATATTGATTTACATTTAACCTTTAATTGGAGCCTTAGTGCAGCAGATAGAAGGTGGAGCTCACATAATCTCACAGGTTTGTGTTTTTGTAGCAGCTCAACCAGCAAAGTAAATGTAAAGGACTAATTCTTAGAAAAATTGGATGGATGGTTGGTTGGACAAAATCTAAATGAAAACAATGAACTTGTTTTGCTGGTGCGTAGCAATACAGAGAACATACACGGTCCAATTCAATAAAATGAGA